AGATAGGAACATCAATGATGAGAGAGAATCATGGGTCAGCTGTCTCCTGCATGCCCCTCACTGGGGATCGAGCCTACAACCCAAACATGTGCCCTTGACTGGAACCCGGCACCCTTCAGTCCGCAGGCTGATGCGGTATCCACTGAGCCAAACCAGCTAGGGCCTCCCTTGGGTTTTCTATGGCATTTTTATATTTGAATACAGAACAGAACTGTGTGCTGGGCGCGAGAGGGTGGGAAGAAGCCTGTGTAGCAAAAGTTTGATGTTGGTGAGTGAGACGGGGGCCCAGAGGAAGTAAGCCAGGGTGAGGTTCTCTCCCCGTGGGTGTTGATGAGATGGCACCAGGGCTGTTTCCTGGTGATGACTCGTGGGGGCTTTACCAGGAAGGCAGGGGTAAATTTGCCTACCCCCCCCCCCGGGGCAGAATTCAGCCAAAGGTAGGAACAGTGTGCATTCCTCTTCCTGCCTGCCCACTGCCAGGCAAAGTCACCTGTGGGCCTGCTTCCATCTCCATGCCCTTTCTACCCCGAGTCTCATTCACGTCTCCGTGTGAACACGCCTGGCTTTCCTCTCCCGGGCTTTTGCAGAAAAGCCTCTTGGGGTTGGGCCTGAGACTTTTTTGTTTGTTAATCCTCACCCGAGGATATTTTTCCATTGAGAGTGGGAGAGAGAGGGAGAGGGAGAGGAAAGGGGGGGAGGAGGGGGAGAGAAAGAGAGAGAGAGACATATTGATGTGAGAGAGACACATCGATTGGTTGCCTTCCACACACACCCGACGGGACCAGGGATTAAACCTGCAACCCACGTACATCCGTTGGCTGGGAATCGAACCCAAGACCCTTTGGTGCGACCAGGCCCGGGCTGGCCTGAGACGTTCTTATGTTACCTTTCATCCATTACTTCCCCTCCTCCTGCCTGTCTCTCTCACTAACACAGTATTCCAAGGTCAGACTGAAAAACGGGGAGACGAGGGGTCGGTGACCTGCCAGAATCCAGCCCAGGGCTCTTAAAACAAAAGGTGTCTGGTGCCAGCTTCAGCCAGACACAGGCATGCTCAGTGGACCAGACCAGGCAGGGGCATGGAGGGGTCAGCCCTGCTGAGGGCTCAGGCTGCAGGCGGCAGGGGCCCCGAGCCCACCCCAGGCCTCTGCTGTCCAGCTCAGAAGAAGGCATCTCCAGAACGTACCTCTTGAATCTTCACCAAAAGTTGTCTGGCCAGCCTTCAAAATTCCATTTCTTCCTCAGGCTGTCAGGGAGGGGGAGAACCCCCCTCTGCCCTTATTTAGACCTTACGGATGGGCCCGTCACAAAATAGTAAAATTGTCACAAGGAGAAACGCCAGTTTAGAACATGCGCACGAGAGAATCACAATAGGATGCGCAGATCGCAAACTGAGACTCAGTGATGGAACCTTTTTATAAAACTGAAGTGTTCTGCCCTGACCGGTTTGGCTCAGTGGATAGAGCGTCAGCCTGCGGACTGAAGGGTTCCAGGTTCGATTCCGGTCAAGGGCATGTACCTTGGTTGTGTGTGGGCACATCCCCAGTAGGGGGTGTGCAGGAGGCAGCTGATCGATGTTTCTCTCTCATCTATGTTTCTAACTCTCTATCCCTCTCCCTTCCTCTCTGTAAAAAAGCAATAAAATATTTTTTTAAAAAACACAAAAACTGAAGTGTTCTGTGAGCCTCTGGCTCAGAATCTCTCAGCTCCAGTCCCAAGGTGGTCTCTCTCGGCCCCGCTGGGGCAGGAGGCACCTGTCACGGGGGAGACGTAGTTCCTGCACTCAGGGAGACGAGGGAGGGTCGAGGCGCCCTCTGGCACCGGCTGCCTGTCAAGTAACCTTCATTCAAAGTCCTCAGTGTGGCGTGGGGGTATTTTGGGGACACCACCCAGCCGAGAGCCTGGCCAAGCTATCTGGCGCCTGGCTGCGGAGTTAGGACCAGCTTGTCCGAGTTCCGAGTTCTCAGGGGACAGTTGTGTCTCTCAGGTGATGTCGGCCGGCTTCATCTCCTGTGAAATTGAAACCCACGGCTACTTTCACAAAAACGATCTCTTTCCAGTAAGAATTCCAACCGTGTGGAGTCAGAAGGGACACAGTTTGGAGCAAAAGGGCTGGTTTCTAATCTGAGGCGATTGGGCTGGTTTGTGAGACCCTCAGCTGAGGGTCCTTGCAACATTGCTTTTAGTGGACATTTACGTTAGATACTTTATTTCCAGTGCCCATGACAGTTCAACATTGAAGAACAAACCTTGATGAGCCCTGGCTTGTGTGGCTCAGTGGTGAGAGTGTCAGCCCGCGCACCTCAGGGTCCGGGGTTCAATACCCGGTCAAGGGCATGTACCTGGGTTGCAGGTTCGTTCCCCGGCCCGGCCACGCGTGTCTGGGAGGCAACCAATCTGTATGTCTCTCTCACTTTGGTGTTTCTATCTCTCTCCCCTCCCTTCCACTCTCTCTTAACCGTTTGGCTGCTGACGTATTTTTTCGGACATATGCCGAAACTGCGGCACTAATTGCGCGTGTATGGGAAAAAATGTAAAACACTTTTTATACAATAAACTCACTTGTATTGCTTTACAACAACAAAAATTAAAAAATACCAATTGTTTACATAAATTTGTTTTAAATAAAAAGAGCGTGATAGCGCTCCTTAGCAGTCAAATGGTTAAACTAATTTTTACCCTTATAATTTTCGGAGTATATGATGTAGGCGTTTAACAGAAAAAAAAAAAACAGTAGATTTGAAATATGTAATATTATTAGAACCATTAAAAATCATATGCTCCGAAAACGCAACGTGCTTCACTGGACGCACAAGTTCTAGTGTTTTGGAGCAGCATCATTACGCTCTCCGCAGTCTTGGCCTAAAAAAAACAGGAGAGCTATCTCGCTCTTTGCATTTTTGGAGTAACATAAGAAGAGCGCGATAGCGCTCCTTAGCAGTCAAACGGTTAAAAAAAAAGTCAATGGAAAAAATATTCTACGGTTAAAAAAAAAGTCAATGGAAAAAATATTCTCCGGTGAGGATTATCAACAAAACCTTGACGAAAGGAGCCAGGGGCACGCCTTCACTTCATCCTGAGGTCAGAACTCCTACTCATCCCTGAATTCAGATGTGTTTGTGGACTTGCTTTTTCTAACAGGGAACAAGAGGAGGTCCTGAGAGGGTCAGCCGGGGGTCGGGGACCAACACCCCAGGGCCTTTTTCTCTGCCATTGCTTTGTCCCTTCTTATGCTTCTCCTTCCTGGTGGCCGCCTGGGCATGGATCTGACTGATTCCGGGGCCTCCAGCCTCTGCAGAGGCCACCCACTGGCCTTAGAAGAATTCCTGAAAAGATTGCTATCAATCAGCTCTTCTTTTTTTTTTTTTGTCAAGTGCACTAGCTGAGATGTTGGCTCTCTAAACTAGGAATGGGAGAACCCTTGAGCAAGAAGGAAGCTTCCAGCAGCTTGCCTGCGTGCACAGCCTCTGCTGTCTAAATGAGACTTGCCAGCATTGGGTTTGCCTAAAGCGGAGGTTGTGGTAGGCGGACTCAGGCCCAGTGGGTGGACAGAGTTCAGGAAGTCTCGTTTCACGGCGAGTTGCCCAGGGAGGCTTGAGGGGCTGTGGTGGAGCAGCGATGTGCTCTCAGCCTGGGAGATCGGGGGAGACCTGCCCGGGCCCCTTTTGGTCACTGGGAAACCCCACACATCTCTGTGTGACCACAAGGAAGAGCTACTGTCACGGATGAAAGGTTATAAGAATTATTCTAATCCTTGCGTTAAATTCGGTGCAGAACTGCTTCTTCACCGGGAGCGCACTGCCTGCCTCCTGGGTTGTGTGCATTATGTAAGGCGGGCCTTGAACTAAACCGCCCCGGCCCCGGCCCCGAGGGGTCGGTGTCAGACTGAGAGGTAGAGGAGACCTGGGCGTGGGGACCCACGCAGCTGAGCACGGGCCAGCACGCACGCTCCTGAGGCAGGCAAGCCTCCCCTCGGCCGTGGAACAACCTCAAGGCGTGAATCATTCTGTTACCACGGCTGGCTGGCTGGCCGGAGAGGAACTGAGAACATGAAAATACGTTGCTCATTAGCAAAGGGAACCAGTCCAGTGTGTAGGGTCCCTTCTCGTCGGTCATGCTCTTCTGCATTGATCTGTTGAGCAGAGCCTTTTTCGTGTGTACCGTAGGCTGCAAGCCCAGGGGGCCCTCTGGCTACTGTGCCTATCCCGAGGGCCTGGGGAGTGTGCTAGAATGAGGGGCTTCAGGAAGCAAGCGTTTTTAGCCTTGACAGCTTTACCGGCGTTAGATCCGTTTTTGTGGTTTGATTCTCTCTACAGACTCCCATGTCCTCCAGCAGGTTCTCCACAGCAGCACAACCCTCTGGGCCACAAAGGAGACCGGGGACCATCCTGTGCATTGTGGGCTGGTTGGCAGCACCCATGCCTATACCATGCGATGCCAATAGCACCCCCCACCACAGCTGGGACAGCCAAAAATGTCTCCAGACATCGCCAAAGGACACACCCTGCTCCCCACCATGCACACACCCTCTGAGAATCACCCTTCTGTAGGGAAGGGGCAACATAAAATAAATTTTGTCCTAAATTAGTTGTCCTTTTAGAACAAATCCTGCCCTAGCCGGTTTGGCTCAGTGGATGGAGCCTGCGGACTGAAGAGTCCCGGGTTCGATTCTGGTCAAGGGCATGTACCTCTGCTGCAGGCTCAATCCCCAGTCCTGGTTGGGACACATGCGGGAGGCAGTCAATCGATGTGCCTCACATCGATGTTTCTCTCTCTGTCTCTCCCTCTCCCACTCTCTGGGAAAAAAAAAAAAAAAAGGAAAAATATCCTCCGGTGAGCATAACAACAAAAAGAGAGTTTACAGGCTTGTACTGCAGGAAATTGTACCCATCCCGCCTATTTGTAGGGAGGCATCCTGAATTACAGCAGTTCCTCGATTTTCGGTGGTGGTTCGTGTTTCTGTTACGTTGTTGCCATTTGGTCCCGGGCGCCCCTCCTGGTGGCATTTCTCTGAGGTGTCCGTGCTTATGTCTCAGGTCAGCCTGCTGATCGCCTTCATCTGCGTGAGGAGCTCTCCGTGGATCAGCCAGAGTGCCTACAGATACTTCGAAGTGGTCACCATCTGCAACTTGATCATGATCCTCGCCTTCTACCTGGTCCACCTCTTCCGCCTCTACCGCGTGCTCACCTGCATCAGCTGGCCCCTGTCGGTAAGGGAGTGGCCTGGCCCTGCCCTCGGCCCAGAAGTCAGGATGTTAGCTGGGCACTGAGACCCCCTGGAGCCCTCTCATCTGCCCCCCCACACACCTCTTGCACCATCCTTCGCTGCTTCAGCCCTGCGTTTCCCACTGTTGGGTGGACATATCTGCTTGTCTGATGTCCCGCTGCTTCTAACACTCACCTTCCAGCCACGGGAAAACTCGGCCTCTCACCCCAATGTTTATCCTCTCAAGCGACAGATAATGGGCTGTGTGGGGGAGTTGGGAGGAGGAACATGGAAGGAAGAAGCTGACAAAGGTGATGGGTATTTGTACCGTGGTGAGTATTGGATGATAACATTTGTCAGCTAAAATGGACCGGCAGAGTCCGAGGAAAGAGTTCAAAGTGGCCAGGGTTTTCTCTTCCCACTATATTATTTTTTTAAAACAGCTTTATTGATAGATAGTTCACACGCCAAACAGTTACCCATTTAAAGTATATAATTCAGTGGGTTTTAGTATATTCCCAGAGCTGTGCAACCACCCATCACAATCCATTTTAGAATGTTTCATCACCTCAGAAAGGAACTCCATGCCCTTTCACTGTCACCATCAACCCCTCATCCCCTCCAGCCCTGACCAGCCACTAATGTACTTTCTGTCTCTCTAAATTTTCCTATTCTGGATATTTCAAGTAAATGGAATCATATATATGGTCTTCTGTGACTGGCTTCTTTCACTTAGCAGAGTGTCTTCGTGGTTTATCTAAGTTGTATTGTGTGTCAGTACTTTTTTTCCTTTTCATAATAGCCAAGTAGTGTTCCACTGAACAAATATACCACATCTGTTCATCCCTGATGGGCATGTGGGTTGTTTCCACCTTTTGGCTATTACAAATACTGCTGCTATGAACATTCATGTGCAAGTTTTATGTATGGACATGATTTCACTCACTTGGGACTATAACTCAGAGTGGAATTGCTAGGTCACATGGTCACTATGTTTAATTGTCTGAGGACCTGCCAGACTGTTTTTCCAAAATGGCACATCCGTTTACATTCCCATCAGCAATGTATTCGGGTTCCAGGTTTTTCTACACCCTGTCAGCACGGGCTATTTTCCTACTTTCTTCTTGCTTTAGGTTTACTGTGCTCCTCTTTTCCAGTGTCTTAAGGTGAAGGTTAGGTTATGAATATGAAACCTTTCTTCCTTTTCCATTTACAGCTATAGACACCTCTCTGAGCACCGCTTTCGTTGCTTCCCATAATTTGGGTGTATTGGGTGTTCATTTTCATTCATCTCCAAGTATTTTTCTAATTTCCCTTGTGATTTCTTCTTTGACCCATTAATTAGTTAGGGAATGTGTTAATTTCTACAAATTTGTGAGTTTCCCAAATTTCTATCTGTTATTTATTTCTAATTTTATTCTGTAGTAGTTGGAGAACACACCTCACGTTATTTCGGTCCTTTTATATCTATTGGGGTTGTTTTTATGGTTTGGCATATGGTCTACGACAGTGGTTCTCAACTTTCCTAATGCCGCGACCCTTTAATACAGTTCCTCATGTTGTGGTGACCCCCAATTTCATTGTTACAAATTGAACATAATTAACGCATAGTGATTAATCACAAAAACAATGTGTAATTATATATGTGTTTTCCGATGGTCTTAGGCGACCCCTGTGAAAGGGTCGTTCGAACCCCAAAGGGGTCGCGACCCACTGGTTGAGAACCGCTGGCCTACAGTCTGTGCTGAAGAATGTTTTATGTGCATTTGAGAAGAACATATATTCTACTGTTGTTGGGTAGAATGTTTCATAGGTGCCTGTTACGTCTAGTTGTTGGATAGATGGATGTCCATCGTTATAAAATGTCCCTTTTAATCTCTGGTAACGTTTTTTTTGTTTTAAAATCTACTTTGTCTGATACAACTACAGCCACTCTAGCTTTCTTTTGGTTGCTATTTGAATGACACGTCTTTTCCATCCTTCTCCTTTCAACTTATTTGTGTCTTTGAATATAAAGTGTGTCTCCTATAGAAAGCACGTAGTTGGATTTTTTTTTTTTAAATCTAGTCTGACAACCTCTGCTTCTTGGTTGAATTGTTTAATCATTCACATTTTAAGAGAAGTTCCTCTTACGTTGCTAGGTTGTAAGGCCCCTTTCAAAGTTGTGGCACCTTTTTGCTGCTTTTGAGAGCAAGTTCCTCTGGGCTCCCCTGATACTCACAGGGAACAAGCAAAGGAGAGAATAAAGGCTGGGGGGAGGAGTGGGGCGAGAATGAGGGAGGGCTGAAAGGGGAGTGAATGTTGGAAGGATACATTCAGCCACACAGTTTTTTAGCCCAGAACATGTTGGCACCTTCCTTTAGGACCCTCTCTCTCTCAAGTCATTTTCCCCCAGAGAATCTTGGCGTAGGGAACCTCCAGTTACTGATCTGCTCTTGGTCAAAATCTCTGTGGTCCACCTTGTGATACTGCTTTCTCATCGCTCGGGGAGAAGTCAGGGTCTTCGATTTTGCACGGCTTTGACAGGAGCTGCAGCCTGAAAGTGGGATGCTTGCCCAACATTGAACAGCCGCCTGCCCTGACGGGCAGAACTTCACGAAGGAATCTTCTCTGAACTCTCGCTGGAGACTGCACATGCAGACGCTCTGGGTTCAGAGTGAGCGTTATGAATGGCCTTGAACCCCCGTCCTGCTCTGACCTGGTATTTACTGGGGAGGAAGAAGGAGGAGGTGGAAGTGCGTCCATGCTGCTGAATGACACCCTGATCCTGGAGAGTGAGTGGACGGCAATGGACAGCCCTGCGGACCCACCCGGAGGCGGAGCAAAGGCGGAGTCAGTCCCACCAGGAGACTTACCGCAGAGCTTGGCCTCGGGTGCATTTCTGTAGAGAAGAGAGAAGACAAAATGCAGATGAAACCAAGCGGGCTGAGGAATGAGAATGCCCGCGCCCACCACACGCCCGGGCACTTGGCAGAAGGGCCGGTACCACACTCCAGGCTCTCACTCCGGGCCGGAGGGGGCCAAGCACCTGTCAAGTCCACAACTAAAAAACAGCTCACAAAGCAGGCAGCCACCAGAGCCAGCTCAGTGAGCCCAGAACATTCTCTGAAGCAGAAGCGAAAGGCACCCATCTCTCTCTTTTTTTAATATATTCCCATTGATCTCAGAGAGGAAGGGAGAGGGAGAGATAGAAACATCAATGATGAGAGAGAACCATTGATCGGCTGCCTCCTGCACGCCCCCCACTGGGGATCGAGCCCACAACCTGGGCATGTGCCCCTGACCGGAACCGAACCTGGGAGCCCTCGGTCCGCAGGCCAGTGCTCTATCCACTGAGCAACACCGGCCAGGGCACCCATATCTTTAAGGGGCCTCGCTTCTCGGGGCTGGAGCTTTGCTTAAACTCCCCAGCCTGGGTGCTGGGAGAAGCTCGGGGGCTGTGTAGTAGCTTTGGCCGGCGGTCAAGGTACTGTCTACAGGTTGATCTCAGGAGTGGAGCAGCCTTTGGTGGATTTCTGTCCTCATACAGGAAGTGTCCTTTCTTCCTGTCCCCTTCCTTCCTCCCTGCCTGCCTGGCATCTTTTCTCTCTTGCTCGGCCCCATCCTGGCCAGCCTCACGCGTCTGTTTGCTGTGATCTGCGCTGCTCCTGTCGGGGTGCTACACTCCCTCCTCTTCTGTTCATCTCTCCTGATGCCCGGTTGCCTCTCGGCCCTAGGAGCGGACCCCCGACCCACGGCTCTGCTTTGTTTTTGCCCCCAGGAACTTCTGCACTATTTAATCGGCACCCTGCTCCTCCTCATCGCCTCCATCGTGGCCGCCTCCAAGAGTTACAGCCAGAGCGAGCTGGTAGCCGCCTCGGTGAGGATCTCCTGGGGGCGCCTTCGCAATGAGTCCATGCTTTCCGGGCTCGTTTTCTTCTTGACGGGGACAGCGGAGGGATCGTTTTGTGGGGCCTTTCTTTCTCAGAATCGGTACCCACCTTGATCCAGCCAGCCCGGTCCCCAAGAGGCTTAAACGGAGGGTCTCAGGAGCTGAATCATCAGGGCTGTTGGCAAACGAATCGCCCCAGCGGCCCGGGCCTCTCTCTTGCAGCCGCCCCTTACATCGGGCAGCAAGTGGATTTGAAATCACGTGTCCGTTGTGGTCATTGGCTCGTGGCCCCGTGCGGAGAAATATTCTGGAGCCTCTTGGGCCCAAGGGAACAGCGCTGTGATCTGCTGGTGAGGTCGGCCATCCGTCCTAGCTTTATCAGTCCTAACTTTTAGCCACATTCAGGCCAGGAAGGAATCTTCCTATTCCTTTCAAAGGTGAAATTGGCCCCTCTGATAGCCTGAACAGAGGTAGCATGGAAATGTACAAAACTGCAGTGCTGTGGGATCCATTTATACCTACCACACAAATACACACGCATAGATACATATGTGTATGCCATTATCTTAAAGATTTATGGACTCCTGTCATATGATTTCTGACTTAGCGAATTCTTTTCCATTTGGTGGCCTGTGGGCCAGTACCGATTTGCCTCACTAAGGAGCAAGACTTTTAAAATGACTTTTAGGCAGAGCTGTCTGCGTGATGCCACTCTTTCATGTGCAGACTTTACCAAAATCCCCCAGGCTTTGGGCCAAGAGTGGGTTCGCACCTGGAATTCTACCGAGGGGTGGAGCCTGCCCACTAAAGGTCGGCATGGGGCAGAAGGTCACTCCTCCGAACACTCATGCCACCAACAGCCCTCCCTCCCTCCACCACCTTGTACCCCTCAGGACCCCCTCCCTGCAGGCTCCAAGGAGAGGTGTGGTTGCCACCCACAGGGTTCCACCTGCAGACAGGCCGGTGGAGGGGGCACGAAGAAAAGTTGTGCCCACTGTGCTCCAGGCCCACATGGGGAGAGGTCCACTGGGTTTTATGATTCAGGTGGCACAGAATGGTGTGGGCCCTGGAATCCCAATCGGCCCCTTTTATCATACACCATCTCTGTGCCTGGGACCAGGCCTGTTTCCGTGGAGGAGCCGGAAGAAATAAAAAGATAGGGTCCTTGCTTAGGGAGAGTGGTGATCCAGCTCAGGAGTCAGGGCCAAGGCGCGTGGTACATTTTGCAAACCAGGCATCGCCATCCGGAAGGGCATTATGTGGCCATAATGAAGAAGCTGTTCCATTATGCAGTGCAGACAGTAGGAGACCAGGACAGGGTATAATGTGCTAATTGTGCAGAACAGACAATGAGAGGCCGGAGCAGCCTCGAACAGGCTGATTATGTGGCGCAGACAGTCGGTACAAAAGGAGCCAAGGGAACGGAGCTGGGGGGAGGGGAGAGGGTGTGTAGGCCAAAAAAGGGGCGGGGCGGGGGGCAGCCCCTTATGCAAACCAGCAGCCAGGCTTGAAGAGAAAGCCCAGCCTGGAAGATCCTGCCCTTTGCCCTGGGCCCCTCCTCCTGGACGGCAGCCGTGGTTTCGGGGGCACTTGGTGGCAACATAGTGAGCCTGGGGCTCTTTGCCAGCCTGAGGTCAGCTGGGCCACAGGTAGAGCAGAGTGTGGACTCTGGAGCCAGGCTCCCTGGGCTCCAGTCCCAGGTCTGGCCCTTGCTGTCTCTGTGGCCCTGGGCAATTCATTGACCCCCCTGACCCCCCATTTCTTCAGCTGCAAAGTGAGGGGCTGAGAGGGTCACACCAGGACCCACCTGGCAGAGTTAGAAGACTGGTGGGCGCAGAGTACGTGCCCCATAAACCAGCTGCAGCTGCCAGATTTGTTCACAAGTAAGGAAAATGGCTTCAGGCTTTGCAGTTCCATGCCAAACACCAACCTCCTCATCTGTGGAGTGGGGACGGGGCACCCAGACACCTGCTTCTCACTTGCCGGTTTGATGAGCCCCAGGCGAGGCCCTGTTCCTGTCTGGGCACCCCATCCCCCATCCACAGATGAGGAGGTTGGACGAGGTGAGGGCCCCACAGTTGAGCACTGGGTGGACCCTGAGAAACTAAAGGAGCGCTTGCTGCCTGAACGTATTTTAGTCCAATGTTATTTAAATACTAGAGACCCAGTGCACAAATGCGTGCACAGGTAGGGTCGGGCCTGCTTGCCCTATGGGGGCCATCGGGCTAGGCTGGTGGAGGGGGAGGGGCCATGGGCAGTTGGCTGGCCGGCCCCACCCCCTGGTCAAACTCCCAGGCGAGGGGACAATTTGCATATTAGCCTTTTGTTATACAGGACATGCAAACGTAAGGCTAGATAACAAAGCCTCACCTCCCGGCTCTCGCCCAGCTATGAAACCAGACAGGAAACCATCGTGAATGAAATGCAAAAAAAACCCCCTTCCTCTGCCTGGCGAGCGTGTGGCTGTCCTACAAGATCTCCTGTGTGACCCAGTCCACAGGTGAGTGCTGGTTGTCCGAACACGGGTGATCTCCGTGAGCTCAGGGGCCGGAGCACAGCCTGTTCCGGGCCTCACAACAGATCACAGGCCGCTGTAGAGGAGGCCGCAAGGCACAGGCGCCCGGGACCTCTGCTCGGCCCCGTGCCCGCCGCGCCCAGGGATGCCCCGACGTGCCAGCCTCTGATGGAGAAGCATTTTCTTTACATGTTTCCTAATGACAGAGAGAAAATAAGGGACATTTAGAAAATGCAAATAAGAACAAAATGTTTTTAATAAAAACCATCTGTCCTCACACTATCCCAAAATAGCACATGCTGGCCATCTTTCCTTCCAGTATTCCCTCTCTCTGGGTAATATACGGAGATGGAGATGGAGATGGAGATGGAGAGAGAGAGAGAGAGAGAGAGAGCGCTGGAGATACATATGTATACATGTCGCTTTGATTAAAAGGACCAGAACGGTGTAGGTTATTTTGTAACCTGACCTTTTTCTCCTACTTGACCATCTACCAGACACTTTCCCCATGTTGGTAGGTGCTCTTTTCTGTCATCCTTTTTTTTGTTGTTGTTGTTGTTAATCCTCATCTGAGTATTTTTTTTCCATTGATTTTTTGGAGAGAGTGGAAGGGAGGGAGGGAAGAGGAGGGGGGAAAAGAGAGAGAGAGAAACATCGATGTGAGAGAGACACATCAATTGGTTGCCTCCTGCATGTGCCCCAACTGGAGCTGGGGATCAAACCTACAACCCAGGGACATGCCCTTGAATGGGAACCAAACCCTGGACCTTTTGGTGAGTGGGCCAACACTCTAATGACTGAGCAACACCGGCCAGAGCTTCTGTCCTTCTTAATGGCTCCATGGGGTCACACTGACCCTGTTGCATGTCTGTGCTACAGTTTTCTTGTCTCCTGTGAGGGGCATTATCTTTTGTTGTTGTTATATAATTCTTTGCTACTAAAAAACGCTGTAATGAACATCCTTATAAATATATCCCCATACCATACCTAATATTTTTTATCTTAAGAATTGCTGAAAGCTTGAACCCGCTAATTTAATTAATCCTTTCTTTGATCTAGCACTTCCTTTCTTTGTTCTTTTTTTAAAAATGCATGAAAGAGGTGGCAGCATTTACATTACATTTCCTGCAGAAGGAGCTTCCCTTTCCTCCCAGGGCCACTGGCAAAAAGCTCACAGGAAGGGTGCCCGTCTCCAAAGACCACACAGTGTCGGGTGCCACTGAGGCGACACGGCCGGAATAGACAAATGCAGAGACAGAGTAGCTCCGCGGTTGCTCACGGCTCAGGGGAGGTGGGACACAGGGCTGCCCGCCAACGGGCATGGGGTTCCCTGTTGAAGTGATGACAATGTTCTAAAATGGTCGTGCAGTTCTGCGACTACAGTGCAGATCATGGGTGAATTCTGTGGGATACGGATGATATCTCCATAAAGCTGTGTAAGGGCAAACGTGAATGATGAAAACATTGCACCCTGGGGTGGGCAGGAATCGGGATGGGTATCCCCTCTGCACTATTTAACTTTTTTTTTAGAGATGCATTTAAACAGAATAAAAGAATCCCAATGAAAGTTGGTGCTGGTGGAGGAAGGCAGTGCACCGAGCGGAACATGGTCACCCGGCCGGTGTGTGACTTCTGGGCGGGCCCCGCCCTGGCCGGCCGGCCTCACCTTGCCTTTTCCTCCCCAAGATGCAGCCGTCTGAGGACACCGCGGCCTCCGGGCCCGCAGAAGGCCCCGCAGGGCGTGTGGCCCCGCAGGCAGGAGGACCTTCGGCCGGTGACCTCAGGAGAGACTTCCGAACCTGTGTTCCGGTGCCAAAGCCCTGCCCGGCTGGCGGGCACGGAGGGCTCTCCTCCCCCTGGGCTCCCGGCTGCTCCGGACCTCTCTCTCCGGCCTGTTCTCCTGGGAGAACAGTCTCCTCATCTGGGAAAGAAGAGCAGCCGCCAGGGAAATCTGGCCTCTGCCTCCTGCTCTTCGAACGGCCTCCGGGGACTGGTGACCGGACCTAACACAACGGAGAGGTTTCTGGATGCTCCTGCACAAATCCCCCTCCTCGCGGGAGTGGCGCTGCCTTAAGTCTCCCCGTGAAAACCAAGCCCTCTCCTAACTTATCAGCTGGGGCATCTGCTCTCTTTCTTCACGTGCGGCCGGCTGTGGAAGAGAAGCCCTCTGGTCAGCCTGGCGCCAAAGACGAGATCTCAGTCTCCTTTCCCGGCTCTGCCTTCGTGAGCTGTGAGCTGTGTGTGTGTGTGTGTGTGTGTGTGTGTGTGTGTGTGTGCGTGCATGCTTTTGTGGATGTCTGTGTGCGTGTGTGTGTGCTTGTGTGGATCTGTGTGTGTGTGTGTGTAGGGTTTTTTTTAAATAAAATATTGACTTGACCAATTGCAGAAGGATTCTTATTAAACCAGAAGAATACACTAGCAGGATGGGCACCAGCCTCTAAAGACCACACAGTGTAGGATTCCGTCGATGTGAAAAGTTGTAAAACCAGGAGTGAAGTGATGGGGCCCGTGAAGCTCAGGGAGAGATGCTCCCCGGGGACCACGCAGGTCGGGGGGCGGGGGATGAGACCAGTAAAGGATGCAGCCCACAGTGGCCTCTCAAGATTTGCATATTTTCAAAGTAAATTGATTTCAAGAGTGAAAGTCAGTACTGTTCACGAAAGACATAAAGCAGGACTCAAAGCAACACGGGCAGCCTTAAAAAAGGACATTCTGACACATGCTCCCCCGGGGATGATCCTGGGAGACACTCTGTTAAGTGAAATAGCTCAGACACAAAGCAACAAATGCTGTCTGATTCCCTCCCATAAGGGACCTAGCATAGTCAAGATTCAGAGACAGAACGTAGGATGGTGTTTGCCAGGTCTGAGGCGAGGGGAATAGGGACTTAGTGTTTAATGGGTACCGTTTCCATTCAGGAAGCTGAAAACATTCTGGAGATGGACAGTGGTGATGGGCACCATAACATAAATGTCATTAATGCTACTGCACTGTATACCTAAAAAATGTTAAAATGGTAAATCTGTTGTGTATATCTATATACGTTTTTATTGATTTCAGAGAGGATGGGGGAGAGAGAGAGAAACATCAGTGATGAGAGAGAATCACTGATCGGCTACCTCCAGCATGCCCCACACTGGGGATAGAGCCCACAACCTGGGCATGTGCCCTGACTGGGAATCCAACCGTGACCTCCTGGTTCATAGGTTGATGCTCAACCACTGAGCCACACCATTGGACTCCAATGATTTTTAGAGGGGAAGGTAGAAACACCGATGTGCGAGAGACAAATCGATTGGTTGCCTCCCCCATGCACCCCGACTGGGGTGGGATCCAACCTGCAACCCAGGTACATGCCCTTGATCAGGAATTGAACCCGGAACCCTTAGCACAAGCTGGCACGCTAACCACTGAGCACACTGCCCAGGGCTGCCTGCCCCTGTCTTTGAGGGCCTGAGGGGAAAGCACCTGCACCCTGAGCGAACAGGCAATGGAGTTGGAGACTCAAGGAGAAAGCCGAGTGGACATGCGGTAAGTGACAGAGCTGGAATGTGAGCCCAGGTCAGGTGCCTCCTGGGCCCAGCCTGTGGCCACCCCACCTGGGGCCACTGGGATGTTAGGGCAGGGCTGGCGCTGCCGGGCTTCCTCCGTGGGCAGTTGGCCCTGGCCTGACGCACCCCTGGGCTGGGCCTCCAGCCGGGACCGGGAATGCTCCGTGACCCAGAGTGGCCCCTGCCCTGGGTGCAGCCGCCCAGCCTCTTCCCAGCATGAAAAGCAAACTCGTGTCGCCAAGGAAACGCAGCTGGTTTGGGACCCTCAGCAACCGCCACTTCCCTCTGTGTGGCGGTTTCTGACCTGCATCCTGTGAACGCGGTGCTTTGTGCTTCGGGGGCCTCACAGATACCTGGTCTGATGTGCACAACATCCGGCAACACCCAAAACGCGCGCACTGCTGTCATCAGCAGCAAACGCTGACACTGGGAGCCGCACAGGCGCCCTCACCTCGGGCAGCCCTGGGGGAACCCTGCTTGTGGCCTGTCAGCTGCTAAAACCCCTCCCAGGCAAGCGGGGACCTCTCCGTCCTACACGATTAAGAAAAAGCAGCGGCTAACCGGTTCGGCTCAGTGGATAGAGCATCAGCCTGCGGACTGAAGGGTCCCGGGTTCGATTCCAGTCAAGGGCATGTACCTGGGTTGCGGGCACATCCCCAGTAGGAGGTGTGCAGGAGGCAGCTGATGGATGTTTCTAACTCTCTGCCTCTCCCTTCCTCTCTGTGAAAAATCAATAAAATATTTTTTTATTTTTTTAAAAAAAGGCAGCAGGATGAATCCAAAGAAGCTACAGCCCCACTAGCTCCTTACTCCAAACCGGGCTTTTCCAACTAACCCGCCGTTCTTATGAACTGGGTTTATAATAAGTTAATGTTGCAAATTGATAGTTGTATGGATACCCTATTTCCTGTTTGATATCATGGAGTTTCACATATGATTCAGATTGAAAAGGGGGGTTTCTCTGCTTGGGAAAGACACACACTAGGAAGCCCCTGATCGATGGAAGGAGCTGCAGGCGGGCTGCTGGGCAGGGGCACGGACAGGTTCTAGCAGGCGGACGGAGGGGCACCCTCAGCACGACTGCCCTGAGCATACCTGGTGCCTCCGCAACTTGCAAGGAGGTTGAAGCCACTTATATGGTTTGGGTTTTATTACAATTTTCAGTGTGCAAAGAAAATCATGCACATTTTTAAAAAGACCACGATTAACCCCAGGTAGAGTTGTGCAGAAAAGGCACGTTGTGGTATGAAGTGTGCCATGTGGCTCACTTCTGGGCAGCGATGACAGCCAGAATAGGGGCCACGCTGGATATTGGCCAGACCAACACTGTGAAGAAACCTCGCTCCCACGCAGGGGTGCACCGCCGAGAGAAGGGAAAATTGGATTTTTAGGGTAAACATTTCCTGATTTTTAAGTGCTGCCAAATAAACTTTTTAAAAATATATTTTTATTTATTTCAGAGCGGGAGATAGAAACATCAATGATGACAGAATCATTGGCTGCCTCCTGCATGCCCCACGCTGAGCCTGCAACTCGGGCACACGAACCTGCAACTCGGGCACACGAATCGGGACCTCCCGGTTCATAGGTCCACGCTCAACCACTGAGCCACCCGGCGGGGTCAAATACACCTTTTTAAGGTACACTCCCTCCAGGCCAGACCAAGCCTGTGGGGGACGTACATGCAGCCAGCGGGCCCTCCGTTTGCAACTCTGCGGGCCTTGGGGAAGAGGGGGGTCGCGCAGCAGGAAGTCGGGGTCAAGGCCAGGAGCGCGCAGAGGCTTCGCTGGGCTGGCAGCTGCTTCCTCCCGAAACCCCAGGGCGGCGCGAGGGCCGGGGGCCCTCCCTGGGGAGCCCCCGGGATCTCCTGCCAGCAGCCACGCCTGTTTGGGCGCTGCCACGGCTCCCAGCTGGGCTCAGCTTTTCTTTTGCAAAAACAAAACCCTAAGGCGCAGGTGGCGGCCGGTGGCGGCCGGTGGCGGCGTCCGCGCCCTCCCCTAGCGGCGCGCGCCCTCTTGTGGCCATCGTGGTGCAGCGCCGCCCTTGGTCCCCGCGCAGGAGCAGGATTTGGAAAAGTGTCCAAAACCCGGGTTCAAAATTGATGCACCAACTTGTGCATCCTCTTTGACCTGAAGTGCACAGATGAGTCATCATCCGCGGTTCATGACGCTCTTACACTGTGATCGTTGGTCCACGCAAGGCCTCCTTCCTCCCTTCCTGTTTTTAATAATGCAGCCGCCATGAAGCATATCATGATGTAACCTCCATTTAACTGTAACCCCAAGCTTCACCGTCTCCCCTGCCCATTTCTCCTCTCCAGAAGGAATCTCCAGAATCACCCATTCACCACCTCTTGCCTCTTTCATATAGTTCTATTGTAGAGACATGTGCTGCCTAAAAAGTGCAGATGATAATTGTTTGTAATTGATTGAAAAGGACGCCACGCCTGTAGGCAATCTTTTGGGACTTGGTTTGCTTAGCATTCTATTGCTGTAACACAGCAATTTCCAACATTTTTCATCTCATGGCACACATACACTAATTCCTAAAATTCTGTGGCACACCAAAAAAAATATATATATTACTTTTTTGCTGGCCTGACAACAAAAAATAGGTGTAATTTTGATTCATTCACACCAGACGGCTATTGTTGGCTGCTTTGGTGCAAAAAGCTTTATTGTTTCCCATTTGGTCCCAATACTTGGGAGAGGGCTTCAGGGTGGTTAAAAGAATGGCTAGTGTTTGCGGGAGAGGCTCAGGCAAAAGCCAGGCAGACACCAGGGGAATGCAGAGGGGCCCCTCAAAGGCCTCTGGGCTCCAAAGGCTCCTAGTTGTGATTGAGGGTGAGTCTCTTGAAGAGATACTCGCCCAGCCCAGCGTGGGGGCCGGCAGCCTACGGAGGTGAGTCAGGTGTCACCCATCTCCTTGATGAGTTTCACCTCCTCACCCCGGAAGTGGTTCTCCAGGAAGTCACGGAGATGGGGGTCTGTGTGGGTAGGACCCAGGGCCTGCAGCCCCCAAAGGGCCTGGTTCAGTTCCTCTCCAGGCCAGGGCGGCTTCCATGGCGTCCTGAGTTTTGCCCACTCCTCTTGGGAGGCTTCAGCACGTCCTGGAAGAGAATGCGGCCCCCGCGCTGGTTTTGCAACTTTAAGAGACGCTCAGCGCCCCAACTCTCGGAAGAGGTGGCCCACGCCCTCCAGAGGCACATCCCAACGGTGGAACCAGAAGCCCAGAGAGAGGTAGGCGCGGAGGCCCGCAGATGCAGGTTGGCCAGGCGGTTGACGGCAGCTCCACCTCAGTGGAGTAAATTCTGACGAATTCGGGAGCTCATGGTTGTTCATTGTATTTGTTGCCATTTTATTGTTCAGATATTTTATCTCTTCTTCCTCCTCTTTTTAAAGAATATCCTTTACCATTTCATGTAATACTGGTTTGGTGGAATGGTTGTTCGGCAATGAGTTAAGGTAGAAAAAAACGGTGTGTTGGTGGGTCTCGGAGGTGGTTCCGAAGGTGGTGACTGGCTAAGACACTGAAGAGTGGTCAGAGGCTGGAAGAAGGGGTGTCCCTGGGTCTGTTCTATCCAAACACTGTTTTGTGTAGTTTTTTTTTTCTTTTTTAAAATCTTTATTGTTGAGTATTACAG